ATGTCGGAGTCACGTGGAAACCGCACGACTTCTCTGACGATCATCACCCCACGCCCACCCCGTATCCTAATGTCTACTGGAGGAACTACCAGCCAAAAGGCACATCCTATATTTCTTTTTAGGATCGCCTAAAATAGTTCTTAGTGGTATGGGTATGCATACATACTTATTTAAAAATACCTACATATAATTATTGCTAGAGTTTTCAAATACGTAGCTAATCCAGGGACCTAACCAACTTTGACGTTCCGTCCTTGCCTAGTTTGTTGGCGTTGAAAGATGTTTGTTCTGTAAAACCTGGATAATACCCTATTCCATAGCCGATTCTGTCTTTTCTTTGCAGCTTCCTGCCTTTCCCAATAATTCTCTTGCTCTTCTTTCAGCTTTTGATGATAGATTCCCTTTATCTCTCCTTCCTCCATGATAAATATAGTGGTGTTTCCGCTAAGCCCTATCCATTCTTCGTCCTTGATGACGTATGCGTAGCTAGATTCATTGATTGCTCCTTGTCCATCAATGAAAATTACGCCGCAGAATAAAAATACGAGGCAATCGCGAAGGCAGTGAAAACTGAATCTGGTGTTGAGCATGTTGGAAGGCAGATGATCGGGTCCGCTATGGGCAAAATGGATATCGAGAGCCGGCTCTGACCGTCGGAACTGTGCACTTATCAGAGATCATGTTCCGTTTCATTCACCCTTATCCCGTTATAAATCAGTAATATACCTCCACCTTTAGAGCTTCTGCTAATACCTGTAGGTTGTTTGGATCGAAAGTGCTCTAGAACCCACTACTATTAGGACCTTCTATCATCCGTGTAACCGGCATGTTGAGAATGGGAATAGATTACTTTGACTTGCTTTATGGCAAGACGTGATTACCGCTTTTCTTCTAGGGGTTTTTGCGCGCCGTGCCTGTTGTATAAGAGCTAATAACAGTGCGAAGAGGTTAGGCATCAAGGGATTGATCGTTGGAAAGAGGGGTATTCGGCAAACCAAGAAGAGCTAAGTAGTTTTAGGCAACGCTTAAACTACGGTTAACTACCCGGAAGGGAGGATCGGCCAAGGCATGCCAAGGGTACCCCTGCTCGGATTCAAAATTCATCCGAGCTACCGGGCCCCACGCCTGCTGCCGGGCTGCTGGGCAAACGCCTGCTGTGAACACTGAAGGCGCGATATCTAATTATAGAGCATAGAATAGTGGAGATAAAGATTCATTGAAAACTGCCTTGCATCTTTAATTTCAACCCGGGAGATTCGCCTCCTTTTACAGACGGGTTTCCTCCAACTAGGTACACATATATACGGTTATTTTAAAGCTCTAGATCACTTTTGCTATTGAACCATAGTGCCCGTTTTATACCTTTCCTGTTGAGGCTGAAACGTGTTGCGCCATAAAGGCTTCAGGTGATCCTCGGGTGGCGCCTGGCTAAGCTCTACACGCTTTCGGGGCATGTACCCAAAACGCGCGTTGCCTAATTTGGTGCGCGCTGCAGTCTCTTGGTGCCTAAGGCATGCCTCTGTTGTCGTCCTGTACTTACAATGGACAGAAGTCTAGGGTAGGTCAAGAAGTGTGCCGCTAGGGCTGCCTGAGGACGACCAGGTTCTATTAGTTCTATGCGAGTCAAAGCTCACTAAGGAGCTAGTTTTAACGAAAGTGGTAGCGATTGTATATATTATTGCCTAGGAAAGTATTTCTAGCTATGAAAATGAATGTGTATATATATAATGCGAGCTACGCGATCATACATAGTGATCCTGAATTCTAGAGCGTCTAATTAAAGTGAAATAGCGGGTCTTCACATGACTCTCCACTAATCTATACAAAATGATCCCCATTCTCCTCTCGCTTTATTATAGTGTGATCCACAGGCATTATGATTCATGGTGGCTAGCCTAAGCGATGCCCGCACCTATAGGGGCATTTTATGATGCTGCCTAAAAAGGAAGAAGCTGCGATAATTGGCCCGGCAGTGACTGTAATATAAAGCGGCGTATTCAACCACCTAGTTGTTGTCCATTTGAAGTAAGTTCACTAGGGGAAGGTCGCTGTCTTTATTGTCAGCTTCTCTACTTCCTCCCCTTGAACGTTCCTAATGAACCCTACTAGATCATAAGTTTCGACGATACACCGATTGAGAGCTGTTATCTGATTCCCGCCCGACGATGAATGTACCTCCTAATACAACTAGTAATTCACCTAGATACTAAACTTGCCCTTATTATTGCATATGGGAAAGCTATGAAGAAACGATCTTATATTAATACTAAGGATGTATATGAATTGCCCTTCGCGATTCTCCATCAATGTTGGTACGACAGCGATCTGCATCTGGATGAAAATTCGTATAAGATACTCGTCACGAGATTGTGGAAGCAAAATGTGGCTGAGCGTGTTAACTAAACTGAAAGGCTATGGCATATTTGAATGGGCATCTCGATCGGCTCACATCGAGACCCTGGTTCGTATGTCTGAACACTACGCTAGTAGACCTCAATATAGTGTAAGTTGTACCAGAGAGTCTGACTTGCCGTCTACTTTAGCTCTATACGGGATATTTGCTGCAAACTTAGCAACGTTGACCCACCCGTATACCCTGTTAGATAATGTCTTAAGCAACGTGAGGCAATATAGCTATCCTCCCATGATATCTGGGGGCTACTAGGCTACACCACCACTATTGGATACTATTTCATTGCTGAGGGCTTGTAACACAGCTGAGCAGGTTTTAACCGGTTAATTGAGTAGCTAGGGGGATGATGATTATATAGGCGGGTTCGGGTGGTTGGTTATTATAGTTATCTTAATAGCTGTCTGTTTCTGGTTATATAAGGGTTAATGTTTTGATCGATTGTTTATTAACTCCTATACTGACCCTTATTATAACCTTCTTGAAGCCCATTATCTGAAAGAGACTTTGTCCCCTATCTTATGGTAGTGTAATGGTGGGGTTATTCCCAACTATAAATATATAGAGTGATGAAAATTATATTAGCTGGGATATCAGGTCTTATGGGTACATGTCATCCAGTAGAGGTATTGGGATTTGGCGCTCACACTATAGATAGCACTAGTATCCACTTAGTGCTAGTTTGCCCATAATAAATGGTCCAGTCTATATTGATATATATAAGAAACTCGGATATACGACCTATTTCAGATATATACCTATTAATATATCTATACTATAGCCAGACGTTAAATTAATATAAAAACATTTATACTCCCGTAGGACAAATATATCTATACTAAGATTTAAGACTATAATATTTCAAGCTATAGTTCTATAAGAGCATCTTATTTTTTAGTAATATATTATAAACCTAATAATAGATTATATAATAATCTTCTAAAAAGGCAAGGTGCCTATAATAAAAGTACTTAGCTATATCACTAGATGTATAGAACTACCTAACTAGATCTTTTATTAAGGGATTATCTAGTTATAAAGTAAGAGCTTTACTAATATATAAAATATAGTATCTAGGTCGCTCCTTATCTATTTTAACTAAGATAGCCTTTAGTGTGATATTTAAAGCTTTTTATAGAGGACCTTCCTCCTATATATCTATTATAGGTATAGTTTAAGGTTTAGTTAATAATATATTTTTACACTATATTATTAATCCTTCTTTAATTATATAGTATATAATAATAGTATTAATTATATTATCCTACCTTTAATAATAGCCCTTAATTATACTATTATATTTAGTAGCTAGGGCTTATACTAGATATTTCTAGGCTAATCCTTAAGGATAATAGCCCTTATTAATAACTTAGTTAAGGTTCTATTTACCTCTTAATTAATACTTAATATTATTAATAGCTTAGTTATCTATCTACTTATATTAAATATTTATCTTAAGTGACCTTTTAAGTCTCTATTTCTTATTTCTTAGTATATAAAGGATTTTAGTGTATTTATAAGACCCTTACTCTATTTACTAGAGTTACTATTTAAGTTTCCTAATAAGAGGGTGTATATTTATTAAGGTAGCTTACTTAGTAGTAAGGTCTATTAGTTAGTGCTTACTAATTAAGTAACTAACACTATAGGCCTATTTTATTAGCACCTACTATAGCCTTTAACCTTAGAGAATAGCTAATATATCTATATTAACTTCTTACTTAAGATAATATTTCTAAAATAGGATAAAGTTAGTATAGTCTAAAGCTAGGTTTTATAATACTTTATTAATATTAACTATATATTATACTTATTAGCGATAGAAGATCTTAGAACTATTTAGGAGTTAGTAGAAAAACGAACTACTTTAGTTAAACCTATTAGCTATAGTATAGCGTAAACTATATAGTATTATAGTATATATAAAGCCTAGTATCTTACTAATTTATCTAATCTATCCCACTATTATTCTATATATAATAAGTATATCTATAGAGATATTATACTTAGTAAGGGTCTTAATAGTATAGTGGAATACTAGATAATTATTAAACTCTTTCTTTAAAAGTAGTAGTAGCTCCTTTTCTCCTTTATAAATATTAAGAATATCTAGTTTATTAAGGGAGATAAGGCTTAAAGCCTTAAAAACCTAATAGCGAAATAGGATACCTAAAAGGTAGATATAAGGGCTAAGGAATAGTAAAGGATTAAAGAAGTTCTTAGGAACTATAAAGGTCTTACTATAGTATAGTAATAAAAAAATATTAGCCTTCTAGTATAATATAGGTTTATTATCTAATATAAGTAATATATATATATCTTTAACTTTAAGATATATCTTTATAAAAGCTAAGGTAAAATAAGTAAGGATATTATATATACTACCTTTAGGATCCTATACTAATACTATATAAATATTACTAAATTAAAGGTATAAAATAGATATAGGGTAAGCACTAGTAGATATAAGTAAAAGGAGAAATAAAACTATAAGAATTTAAATCTCTTCTAGCTAAAAAGACTTTTTAGTTATACTTAATATTATCTAAATCTACTCTAATAGATCTTTAATAGTTATATAGTAGTTTACCTACTTCTTATTGCTTAATATATACTTTTTAGCTAGATCTCTAAGAGCTTAAAAGCCTATATTAGAAAGTATTCTAGAGAAAGGGTATAATAAAAAGTTCTTACTCTATATATCTTCTAGTTTAATTTTAGGTTAATCTTATTGCTAATAGCTCTTTTAATATATAGCTAGAATACTTTCTAGTATATACTTAAGGAACTTTTCTTCTTTATTCTATAGAGCTTTCTACTATCTTTATTAACTTTTTAATTTAAGCGCTAGTTAAAGAAATTATATAATATCCCTATAGAAAGGGATATATAACTTACTTTAGGGTTATAATTAATAACCTTATAGAACCTATAAATAAAACCTATTAGTATAAACTATTAAGAGCAGAACTAGTTACTTACTTTTTCTATATATCTTCTATTATATCTAAGAGAATATTACTACTTAAGCTATAATCTTAACTATTATAATAGCTCTTATTAAAGTCCTTTACTATATTTTAATAGTATTCTAATAAGTATATATTTCTACTAAATAGGTTAATAGTATCTTTAAAGTCTACTTCCTTATTATTAGGAGACTCTTCTAAGATAGTCTTATCGCTCCTATATATAGAGCCCTTATAACTATTATTATTAAAAACACTATTAATATTAGACTTATCTAAATATTCTAAGTCTAGATTAGAGTATTCTAGGTCGAGATCAGGAGGTAACCGCACAGTGGGAGCCATACTGCAGTCTAGCTAGTGATTTCAAAGGAGTAAGAACGTATATATTTAAGCGATGTGTGAGAGCGGATAACACGGTGAGACGCCGCTGCAAAAGAGGACGGCTAGGTTAGTGAAGCAACTAGGAGTGATCAAGAAATGCTAAGGGTGAATGATACACAAAAGGCTCGTTTAAGCCTTAGATATTAGGCCTAATACTAAATGGGAAGGGCAATTAGACACAAGGAGCAGAAAATGGACGTGAACTTGCTGGCGACCCACGCAGGGATAAGACACAAAAGCAGAAAATAGATCCTTGGAGGCTTTGATGGACGGACGGCCGGTCGTGCGCCTAAAGGCTGAGACACTAAGGTCCCTATCACACGCACCAATGTAGCTTCTAGCTTACTCCGTACTTATAGTATATATTAATAGGGTCAGTTCCTAATTTATTAAACCGGTAGCCTGGACAATAGCTTAGCCCATAAGTACATATATATAATTAGGCCTTAATTAAGATGTGCTATGTTTAATATACCTAAGACTTAGCTTTAATTTGAAATCTTGGCACCTCGACCTATAGTTTAGCCGCACTACTAAGAATTAGGACTTAATTTAACCCCTACTAAGCCTAGTTTTAGGAAGTAATTAACTATTACACTAGTACCTCTAACCTATGCAATAAGCACTAGCGATTAAATGTAATAAAATATAGCTATATATCACTAAATATAATTAAATATATTTAAATACAACTAGCTATAACTAACGGTAATAAAATATAACTAAAATATTTAGGTATAGTAGTAGGTATAGAGTATATTCCACTATATACTTATATTATCTAAATACCGCTTCTCTAATCTCCACCTTATATCCGCGTAATATACCTTATATTAAATAGTAGGCCTGATCCTATTATAATAATAAGGGAAGAGGGCTATACTATAAGCTCGCGTGAACACTTAGTAAATTATACACGCTCTAATATAGCTACTAATTATAGATATACCCTTATAGTATCGTAGGACTATAGAAAGACGTTATAATATTATCTATCTCCTTAAAGATGCTTACGCCCTATAGTATGCCTAGCACTACTCTATCTTAGATATAGTGCTATACTAAGTATATGCCTTTAAGACTAGTATAAACTAAATAGTAAGCTTTAGGTATTAGTAGAGGGAAAACTATAATGCTTAGGTTTTTTAATACTAGTACTAGATAGTAATAGCGCTAGGTAATTTATAGCGCTTAAATACTGGTTTAAATTAAATTATAGTGTTTAGATATTAGGACCGAAAAAACTATAGTATTCTAATACTAGTACTAAATAAAATAAATTAATATAGTACTATTATCTAAATAAAGGGAAATCTAGGGGATTAGTATTTTACGAATGATTATTACTTAGTCCTAGTATCTAAGATAAGCTGGCCTGAGTTTGGGCTTTAAAGCTAAGCTAGGAGCTTAATTTTAGGTTAGCTAATACTATTTGGAATAAGGCCTTAACCCTCTAGGCGCCTAGTTAAAGGTAGGTGGTATCTATAGATCTCCTTTACTTTTATTTATTTTATTTTTTATTTAGTTATTAAGCGGCTTAAGATACTATATAGGTGTGATAGCTTGCTGCTTAGGCTGTTTTATGCTTTAGTTCTAGGCAGGCTGCTATTAAGCTATAAGAGACCTAGTGGGATCCTAACCTAGGATACGTGGTGTTATCTAATACTAACTATAGTCCTAGCTTGTGACTTAATGCCTTTAGTCCTAGTTCTTTGGATTACGCTTTATAGCTATAGATATATTTTACTACTTCTAATGATAGGACTTTAATGCTTTATGGGTATAGAAGGCATTAGTACTATTTCCTATAGGGTTATCCTAGTCACTTTGGACTAACCTTAGAAAACCATGGCACCCTGTCCTTTCGGAATGAAGAGGAGAAAGGATCTTCCTTCCGCGCCCTCCTTCGTAGGCTCGGATCATTAAGCGGTCCGTGCGTGCGAGCTGCACCACAAATCGCCGTGCCACCATTCGCGCCACAGATTCCCTCCTCTCTGCCTGCACCACAGCACATCCACCACACACATTTGCGCCACCTTCGGTGGCGCATGTGTGTGCTTCGTTCCGAAAGGCATTAGCGGGCCCCGGAGGGGACCGGTCTCCTGTCTCAAGCTCGGATCACATGGTGATCCGTGCGATTGACTTCACCACATTTTTTTGCGCCACATCAAGCCACAGTATCACCTGGCTCGCCCATAAGTATGCTTGTCTACTGATCGCTAAACACAACTCTTCGGTACATATCAGCCATAAAATGCAATGCCGCCAATTCGGATAGCTAAGAACGACACATTCTCAGGTGCTCAAGCTTCTGTTGACAAGCTCCTAAAGAGAATGCTACTCAAGTCCATCCCCAAAGGTATGAAGGATGCTCGCTTTAGAAGTAGCAATCATAACTAGGACGGCAAGTATAAGCAAGTAATTAGACGTCTACCAGGAACATCGTCTTCAGTAGTAGGTTTGTGTTAACCGAGTAAGTAAGCTTCCTACGGTCTAAGCGATTAATACTAACCTCGCCTCGTTTAAGCGATCATATTGACGACATCTTAGCCTTAGGAAGCTCAATTTACAAAAAAAATCGTGCACTTTATTTTCATATATAAGGATGTGAGCTACAATGCGGATCCACCTTGTACCTGCTGCGGTCGTCTAATACCACACCTAGACTGTATCATTATCGCTGTTGATGGCGCTTGCAGGCTAAATTGGTATATACGAGGCTATCGCGTCGGTTGGTATATTCATACATGAGAATTCTGAGTACAACTATAACAGGATGTTCCCGGAGTAACAAATCAGGTTGCAGAGTTATCAGCTAGTGTTCACGCTCTTCGCCTTACCTTGCAGATACGGAATGATTGGTCAGGAGTAAAACCTCTTCAGGAGATCGTTATCAGGGCCGATTCGGAGTACTTAGTAAAGGGCATGACAGAGTGGATGTTCAAGTGGGAGAAGAATGGTTTCTGGAACTCTCGGGGAAAACCTCTTACGAACTCAGTATTATTCCGAGAGTTGTAATTACTTGTAGCTGACCTGAAGGCAAAGGAAGTCGAGACCTTGTTCTGGCATATACCTAGAGAGGAGAACAGAGAAGAGAGGCTGGTATAGTTATGTGCACGTCTATCCTCCTCTTCCTACTAAGAGTCTCTTTCTGAAAAGGATGGTGGAGACTTAAGATACAGATAAGTACTTTTTAAGCCAGCATGGGGTGGAAAGCGGACCATGAATGTGTCTGGATTTCGGCAAAAAGTCATTATTGGCTGAGTCCTGGAGGTATCTACAGGTACCTGTAAGTACCCATCCCACCCCAGAAATTGACCCACATAAAAACAGTGCAAGTCATTATCCCCGGTACCTTACTCCAGCCGCTGAGGTACACCCCCAGTTTGTCCTAGTCAAGGGGATCCTCAACCAATTCATGCAAAATGTTGCCAGTCTACATTAGGTCGCATTTCAAGGCTGAAACCTTGCTCTATGTTTCGCTACAGCGAAGATTAAGAATCTGAATAGCTTCATATAAAAATTGGACCGTTTGTACTGGCTTCACTACCTATCTCCGACATTCCTCTAGTAATCACGTGACAGGGAGTCGTAGAAGGCCGTAGAAGGCCATTGGAAGGCGAGGGAGAGGTGTCCTTTGTGGCCCGTTGGTGCCAACAGCGAACCTGCGAGAAACTTCCAGGCAGCGTTTGCGATGTGGCAACAATCATGAATCAGGGCGAGACTGCGAACGACTGACCAAGTGGCGATGCGAGCAACTCCGATTTTCCAACGTCCGATAGCGAAGAGTCTCAACCGGCAGCCTTCGCCCCAAGAAGCTGGCTGAGACCCGCCGGAAGTGCTTTAGCCTTCATGCCATTTGCTGACTGGGAACCACACCGGTGGTACGAAGGCCAACTAACGATACGGTACGATGTGGAATGGAAATTAGTCGCAAACAGCATACAAGCTGGCGAACTCGGGCATTCTCTGCACTATTTAAGGAGCCATTGCCGCGTAATTGACTGTACCAGGTAATGGATGTCAATATCCTAGACTTTCGCCTCCGATACAAAGGAAATGCTTTGACAATGCCCAGACCATTGGTGAGCTCTACTGCTGCACTCGTCCCCGAATCTTTCGTCGCGTGTGCGATGTGTGGTGGAAAACTGTTCACTCCCGACCTATAACAACTCCGTACCTGACCAAGCCTAGCACAGCCCCGAGAAGAATAGCCAGCGGCGCCGCAATGCTGAAGTATCGCCCCCCCACGTAGGCAGCGGCGGTCACGACCACCCACCATGGATCATCTGCCAGACTCTTCCCCGACTGGAAACCTTCATCGATGTAGCCAATCTGCCAGATCCGATATACGGCCGTATAGATAAGTCCGACAGCACCGGCATTAACGCCTCTCACTCCAGATTTTACCCAGCGCCTACTTCGTAACACCCCCCAGACCCCCATTGTTCCGTGGACGAGGACGATGCCGGGAAAAAAGATGCCACAAAATGCGATGAGTGCTCCGGCAATGGAAGAATACCCGCTGCGAATAGCTGTAAGGCCGCCTAAGAACACAGCGAAGTTGAAGTTTGGCCCCGGGAAGGCCTGTGCAATAGCGAGACCAATAAGGAAGTCGCGCGGACTAACCCATCCCTCGGCCACGATATATTCCCTGAGGAGCGGAATTACTACCGGTCCGCCGCCGAAAATGATGGTGCCAGCAAGGTAAAGGTTCGCGAATAGTTTGTATAGGAGGGGGGGATCAGGCAAAACTCCTCGGAGCACCATAACGATGATAAAGGTAACGAAGAATGCTGCAATGAGCGCAGTTCCAGACTTCCATGTAAAATTGAGACGATACTCATGTGGTACGATGCGGGGCTCAGACTCCCGTGTACCATACCGATCTTGATCATCGAGAGTTGTGCTGGTGGCATGTGTCTCTCTGCTGGGTCCGCTTTCGTCCCCTGCGATATTCTCTCCTTCGGTAGGCGTCGTGCCTTGCATCCTGGAGACGAACTGTACAACAGCTCGAATAGGTCGGTGAAACCAGCGGTAGTCGTACACGACAGCAGCGAAGCCGGCGGCAAACATAAGGACCGGGAAGTACCATAGAGCATTGTATAGCATTCCAGCTGCGGCAGTCAGAAAGACGAGAATTCTGGTGAGCTTGTCCGTGATTGCTTTATTCGACAGCTCGACTGCTGCCAGGGCAATAATCCCAACTGTGGCAGCGTTAAGTCCCGAGAGCAGAGCATATACTGGACGAGGTAGAGTCTCTCCGATATTGGAGACACCGATGGAGAGGCCAAACATGCCTAGCGCGCCAGGCAAACTATCGGCTAAGGTCTTTAGCTCTGGTCCCTAACTATCCATAGACATGGAAGATGTAAGTTTCTGGCTCACCTCCAAATAAAAAAGGCAAGGACAGCTCCAAGTAAACCATCATGGATCAGATTTATACAGTATAGCATCTTGGTGCTAGCAGGGCCAGAGAGAGCTTGGGAGATGCTGAAAAGTTCCTGGTACTGAAATATATTGGTGAGTTTCTTTGTTCGATGAACTTGAACAGCGTGCGACTATATTGTACATACCAGCTGCTCGTCGATCCAAGCGAGCTTCGATACGAACTTATCATGAAACTATCGCATTGTCAGGCCTAGGTAATAAGATGTGTGGCGGGAGATGTTTGCTTACAATCTTGAAATGAACAGGTGGTCCGCCAAACGCGGTGAAGCCGAGATGCCAATTGACTTGGATTGTCTCCCAGGTACGGCGCCCAACTCTCCACGCCGTGTATTCCCAGTTGTTGACGACCATTGTGGACACGTAGACTTTGTTGACACTCCTTCTCGATGCTAGCAGAGGCCGGATTTGGTAGCACGTTTGGATAGATCGGAGATGTTGTCTTTACCAAGGAGATGGATAAGTCTGCGGGCTTTGCAGGTCGCAAGTTGGCGGGTATGGCGGGAAATATGCGTCACACCTTTATTGAAACCAGGCAAGCACGCCATATCCTATGGCCTTTACGTCATCCTCGGATAAAAAATAAACAAAGGTATCCACCCATTTGTTAACATGTCGGAAGCCAAGAGATCGATCGGAGCCGGGAATGAATTAATGAAGATTTTACACTGCTGGATGTGGAACTGTCGTTCCTGGTTTCTGATATCTCCTTGCGTTGGGTTGACATTATTGGTGACCCGCCACGCTATTGTTGTTATTAGATGGTGCCTTAGGGTTTAGGCATAAAACAGTTTGAACAACACAATCCGCTTAGAAATGTTAATGTACTATATGCCGAAGAGCGAATGGGGGGAAATGGAAGGATACGAGAAGAATGCCTGAAGGAACGTAGTTCCGAAAGGTTCTTCCTTCCGCGCCCTCCTTCCCCCCTCTGCGCCCGGTTCGCTGAGCGATCTGAGCACTTCTAAGCCCCATTTGATGCGCCACGGTGGCCCAGCCATGTAAGCCACCTTCCGAAATTCATGAGCCACACAATGCCCGAATCTATCTAGAAAGCCACATACATCTCCACATGCCGACGCCGATTGCCTGAAGGAACGTAGTTCCGAAAGGTTCTTCCTTCCGCGCCCTCCTTCCACGCACAGCTCGCTCGGCAATCCGAGTTTTTCTAAGCCCCTTTTCATGCGCCATCATTCATGAGCCAACATCCGAGGAGCCACATCCGAGGAGCCACATCCGAGGAGCCACAATTTGATGCGCCACCGAAGGTGGCGCATGTGTGCTTTCGTTCCGAAAGGCATTGGCGGGCCCCGGAGGGGACCGGTCTCCTGTCCCAAGCTCGGATCACAAGGTGAGCCGTGCACGCATGCACCACAGTTGCTGCACCAAAATCTCTGCGCCACTTTTGGTGCCACGACTCCACGCCACTATGCCTTGAGGAACTTGTTCCGAAAGGTTCTTCCTTCCATGTGCCCTCCTGGCAGTCCAAAAATCAAGCTCGGGCCACAAAATGGTCCGTGCGAGCCGCCTGCACCACAATCGCTTCACCTCAATCCCTGCGCCACCTTTTTTCCTCCTGCAACACTTTTTTTCCTCCTGCAACACTTTTTTTCCTCCTGCACCACTTTTTTTCCCCGCGCCAGCCTGGCTACCAACCTCAGCCAGCAGGCTCTGCAAGTTGGTCAATTAGAGCGTCAGGTGCCTATACGTTCAATTCATAGAAATAAATTCTGCCAAATTAAATTCTGCCATTCTAGGGATGATCTCAGGTGAAATAAAACCTCTGTATCCATCCATACTGACCGATATCGAGGCATCAAAAGGAGCAAAACGTGGCCTATTCTGTAAGAAAGGAGGAGAGGAATTCTCAGTGCAGAAGTGGTCATAAATATTAGAAAAACCTGCGGGAGCCATTCACAGAGTGGAGACAGCTTTAGTAGTCGATGGTGTCATATTAGGTACTGATGGCGTTCTTTTTTATCTAATATTCTATGGTTACCTATATAACAATGCTATCAGCACATCGTAGCACCGATGGCATGGAAACAATCTACGAACCCTTTCACGAGGGTAAACTACGAAAATCTGCAAAGAACAGCCATGTCTTCAGTCATCTACCTCGTCCGCCACGGCGAGTCGGAGCACAACATCTCGAAAGACTTCACACAACGAGATCCACCTCTTACCGCTAGCGGCTTGGCCCGGGCGGCGAATCTGACTGAAAATCTCCCTGACCCAGCGTCAATCGCCGTCGTTCTCACATCTCCACTTACACGCACGTTGCAAACTACGACCGCCGGCTTCCCTCAAGTCTTCCACAAAGATGCAGCAGGCGGCGCCCAGCTCATTATCGACCCCGACCTTCAGGAGCGCAGCGACCTTCCTTGTGACACCGGGTCTGGACGTGCTGAACTGAACAAGGCCTTTCCAGGTCTCGATTTTGGGGACTTGGGGCATGAATGGTTCATCAAAAAGGGGTTGTACGCCGCGGATGATGCTGCGGTCGTTAAACGAGCGCAACGATTCCGCGAGAGATTGCGTGAGATTATTGCTTCACTCGAGAAGGATAGAGAAGAGGATGACGAGAGGCGAAGGACGAATGTGGTTGTTGTCACTCATGGTGTGTTTATGAAATTCTTAGCTGAGGACGACGCGATTGACCTCCCCAAGGCGGGCTGGAAAGCCTTCAGGATGGGTAGTAGGGAGGGCGGAGGTGCTATACTTATTCCCCTGGAGTGAAGTTAAAATGGAGAAACTATCGTCCATCTTACATTAAATTAAGCCCTGACAACCCCATACCAGATTAGGCCCAGCACAGCGCCCATGATGATAGCGACCGGAGGGTTCACGCCAAAAGAGTAGCCGAAGACAAAGCTCGATGCCGTCACGATAACCCACCATGGTTCCTGTGCGAGACTTGTCCCTTGCTGGAAATTTTCGTCTATGTAACCGATTTGCCACAGGCGGTAGACTGCGGTATAAATGAGCCCGACGGCACCAGCATTAACGCCTCTGAGGAGCGACTTTACCCATCTAAGGCCGCGGATAGCACTCCATATGCCCATGGTGCCATGAACGGTGATGAGGCCTGGGGCAAAGATGCCAATGAATCCGAGTGCAGCCCCTGCAGCCGAGTTGTAACCCCCGTTGATCGCAGTCAGGGCGCCAAGGTACACGGCGAAGTTGAAGTTGGGACCGGGAAAGCTCTGCTGAATGGCTAGGCCGATGAGGAAGTCTCGCGGGCTAACCCAGCCTTCGGCGACGACGTATTCGCGGAGCAGGGGGATGACGACGGGACCTCCGCCGAAGATGATAGTTCCTGCGAGGTATATGTTTGCGAAGAAGCTGAAGAGGAGCGATTTAATAGGCAACACGCCGCGCAGGACCATGATGACGATGAAAGTAATGAGGAAAAAGACAATTATGCCGAGGCCGAAGGTCCAAGAGAAATTGAGGCTGCGTTCTGGTGGGACGACGCGGGGTTCCGACTCGGTCTCTGGATGCCCGTTCTCAGTAACCGGAAGAGTTTCCACATCGTTGTCTCGGCTTAAGCGCGTCCCTACCTCATTCCGTTTTGTCACAGCATCGGAAGAAGTAGCAGTGGCGGTAGCAGTGTTATGCTGATTGTGCTGATTGACAGACTGCGCCTGCGAAAGCTCGACGGATTCCGGCTCTTCTGCCAGGTGTCGTCTTCTGGGGTTCTTCACCACGCTCACGACGACCTTGACGGGGCCGTGAAGCCAACGATAATCATGAACGACGGTTGCGACACCGGCCAGGAACATCAGAAGGGGAAAGTACCACAGCGCGTTATATAGGATGCCGGCCGCGCCTCCGAGGAAGACGATTACGTGGGTTATTTTATCGGTAATGGCTTTTTCTGACAGTTGAACTGCGGCGACTGCGATGATGCCGACGGTCGAGGCGTTGAGGCCGGAGAGGAGTGCATAAACCGGACCGGGGAGTGAGTCTCCGATGTTAGAGATGCCAATGGAGAGGCCGTACATTCCGAGGGCGCCAGGTAAGCTAGTGAAGCAAGTTAGCAGCGCCGATGCGAGGTTTTGGACTGGACATGGTGCTTACCTCCAGATAAGAAAGCTCAGCAAGGCAGGCGGGAAACCGTCATGGATGAGGTTGATACAGTAATGCATTTTGGTGCTACCAGGGCCAGAGAAAGCCTGGCATACACTGAACAGCTCTTGATACTGCATACTGATCAGCAATGCTGCGTTACCCAACGATACCACGGAAAACTCGACGTACCACTTGCTCGTCGATCCATTGCAGCTTCTGGACGAATTTGTCATGAAACTAAGGTGAGGGCATTCGTCAGCAGTCGCTCTGTCCGAGCCGCAATATTAGTCACGATGGAACATGATCATAAGAACAAAGCTGTAGCTCACGATTTTGAAATGTACTGGGGGACCACCAAAGGAGGTAAACCCAAGATGGTAATTAGTGTGGATGGCATTCCACAACTTGGCCGCGATGTTAACAGGCTGCCCGCCTCTCCAGCGTCGAATAGCCATCCTGGTAATAGTGTAGGATTGTGTTGAAGCTCTTGTCGATGGCAGCAGAATTGGTACTGAACGGCTTGAATGCTGAAAAGTTGGAGATTCAAGACAGCACATAGGTTTATTCGCTTAACTGACCTTCTTGCTTATCTCCATTAGTACCCACTCGAAATAGTGCAGTACAACCAATCATTGCTTCTCTTGCAGGGCACGTGGGGTTGGCCATGCATCGACCCCCATGTCACAGACTTTTTCGGACCTATTAGATCGAGGGAATGACAGCGAGCCGACCGACTCATGCCGAAACGAATATATCCACCTTAACTTCGCCTGGACCCTCGCGCCACCTCTAGCCACGGCGCATGCGCCGTGGCAAGCCTATAAACAGACACCTGCAAAGACGCTCACAACTGCCCAAGGCCATTAGGCGTTACCTACCTAGGGCTTCGTCGCGACTTACCTGGAAGACAGTGCTTGTCGGCATCGTTCTTTTTCACATTTTTTCATAAGACAAGTGCTTGTATCAGGCTCTTTTCTTTTTCACTTTTTTCAAGGCAAGCGCCTTACTTCTCAAGCCTGTTCCGAAAGGCATTGGCGGGCCCCGTAGGGGATCGGTCTCCTGTGGACGATGCCTCGAGGAACGAAAGGATCTTTGCCTTGAGGAACGAAAGGCTCTTCCTTCCGCCCCCTCGAAAGACCAACACCTGGAACACCGCCACCTGCGCCACAAAGACCGCGCCACTTAAAACGCCACATCTCAAACGCCACAGCTTGGCCATACATTTTCTCTCAATGGACTTGGGCCAAAATCGTGGAGCCGAAATTTTGTCCTGGAGCCTGGCCCCAGGCGAATAAAATCATGGAGAACGGGCACTTATTACTTATCTCGATCTTGAAGAAGCTTGCGAATATAGCTCAACAGCCTCATTTTTATTACCTAACCTAAGTTTTATGTTTTGCTCACTCGGTTTATAATGAGATACAAAGCGGGCCATGAATACACTTGGAATTACACTGAAAAGCTAATCATTTGTTTTTCTATTTTACATTATTCTCGACCTACGGCTTCTCGAGCATCCTGCACCTTCCACGAGCTCACTCTTTTCCTGGCCGGTCCGTCCCTAACGGAGCTAGCGGCTCGCTTCAGGCTATTTCTAACTTGCGCTGACGCTTCATCCTCCTCGGCATCTGTTGACACCGCGACCGATGGCTCTGCTATTAGTTAGACCAAGCCCCGTGCTACGACATACAGTCCATTGAGAACACGTACCTGCGCACCCACCTAGTGTGTCATCCGATGTAGCTGATATAGATCCTGCTAAATCTGCGATTAGTCGATGTATTTCTTCCTTGGTGCTCTCGGAAACACGAACCGGTGGACTCCTGTTGAGATCCAAAGAGCCGCCTTGCTACTGCCGAGGGTATCGCCTCCTCTGCCGTTCTGTCCACTGACTTCTCCCTCGGCTTCTGCGTTCCCGGAGACGGGCCAGTCGGGCTGCTGCTGAAAGGGTTTCGGACCTTGCCTGGCTCCTGCCTCGGCTTCTGGGGTGAAAGATCGTTGCCCTTACTGCCGCCGCTATCGAATGTTGCCTTTGATATAAAGCCAAACTCATCAACGAGCACGACCAGTATGTCCTGTCCGGGCTCGGGCTCCTTCTCCAACAACCCAACGTTAAGCACGCCGATAATACTTCCCCTTCCGTACATCCATTTCCTAGATACAAACCCGCCTTCGGCTGAATTGGTCATCCAGCCGATCCGACTCTTCCATGGCTGTTGATCATACGGCATGTACACTAATATGTGGAATGGTCGGCCACCCTTGAAAGGCGATTCATTTTCGCGGGGCGGCGTCAGGTAGGTCTGGCATTGGACGAAGCCGCAGCACTTCAGCTGGTGTTCTGATATTGAGCCAGCTTTGAACTTGAAGGTCTTCGTATCGACTGGTCCTTGGAAGCTAGCGCGTGGCGCGATAATGGGGAAGCAACCGCCTCCAAGCCTCAGGGACCTCTCTGCAACCCTGAAGTAATGAATAATTAGTCTTTTGGAAAAGGAAACCATAAAAAGGCCTGGCGGCCTAAGATGGCACGTACGGTTGGAGACACATTTGCCCACGGACTTGTGCCAGCTTCCCATATACATTTTCCCACGAACCGATCACCGACTCATCTCCATCCGCGACTTTGCGGCGGAAGTGTAGTTCGTAAGGGTGTAGCTGCACGTCGAAGAAGAACCATTGGCCGTTCCACTCGTCAATTTCGGGAAAAGGGTACACATGCATTGACAGTGGTATGTCGAGGTCACTTTGCATACCAAGGACTTTTGCATGCTCTCCGTCATCGGTTTCAAAGTACGCTGGCCTAACGAATTGTAGACGAACCGCGCCGACGAGGTTGTGGCCTCGGATGAGCTGCCTATCGGCGGACGTGACTACTTCGAGTCCCTCCAAACTGGAGAAGAACTGTACGCCCAAGGCGTTCAAGGGAGCTTGCCCGTGGCTTGATGGTGGCGGCCCTGCCATATTGGAAGGGCAAGCGACGCGGAAATCGCGAACGTGTAAACCAGAGTCTACGGAGTGGTTTCACCTCCCGATTCAGTAATAGCAAGAAATGAGGAGGGGTGCTCAAAACCGGTGCCTAAATCTCCTCTAGTCATGAGAAAAGCGAAGAAAAAAAAGGGAAGAGCGAGTTTTTGATAAGAGGGCACACTTGACATGAATCGGCTGATTGCCCTTCTTATACAGACACCGTACTGACGGCTGGGTCACAGCACGGCCTCGTGTGCCCCGATACGGTAGTTTCCTCAATATGATGCGACCACCAACGCCCTTGCCATGTGTCACATGAAACAATGGTCAATGGCCTCCCTCTCGCTGCTGTGACATGGCCATTTATCTCATACAAGGGTCTGCGGCTCTCGTATGCTTCAGCTTCTCAATGCGCCGGGCCACCTCGAACGTATTCTGTTTTACAGTTTGACCGGTTTTGCTACATCCTCATGGATATCCTGCAGATGCTGCACCCTTCGCGGAAAAGGGGTAGGCTGTTTTCTGCCTCATCCTATTTCAACATTGGGCCTGCTTTGACGGCTACTAGAGCCGGTTGTCTTCAACTCACTCTCACGAGCCCACGGGCTGCAATCGTTACTATGCCTAAGAAAGACCGCGTTCTGGTCCCAAATGAGGAGATCCGCCGGTTGCTGGACAGTATGGATAACCGACGGGTGGCCAACCGGACCCAGCCAGTAGAACGACCGTCGAGGCTGGCAGCGCCAAGGCCTCCTCCTCCTCTCGAAGAAGGCGGTCATCAACGAAAAGAGCCTATTAGGGTTTTTCACGGAGAGGTAATCTGCGTATCGGAAAACACAGATCGACAGGGTGCTCAGGGACCAGCACTGCGAGAACAAAAGACCGTCAACGTTCCCTCGGAAGAGCTACGTCGAACACTGAAAGAAATAGTCCGCCAGCGAGCGGAACGCCGCCTTGCCGTGCCTCGCCAACGAACTGATAAGAAGAAGAAGGTCTCAGAGGACGACCTCCGTCGTACCTTGGAGAGCCTGGAACGCCAGCATAGAGAAGAACGGATGCAGTCCTCTTCACGAAGAACACGTTCTCGGACCGCCCCAGTATCACGCCCAAAGTTACTTAACGACACATTGACTTCCGGCCAGACATCCTCCCGCAGACAGCATCCACCGGTTGCACGAGTGCGGCAGCCAACCACAGCGGACCAGGTGAAAAGTCCTCCTCAAACGCCTTCCCGGAAGCGTCCGAGAGAAGAGGACGGCCTTTTGACCCCACCACCGTCGCGGGCGGACCGCCACTCCAAGAGGCCACGTCTGACGGGTAGCGTCGGGGAGCACCAACGAATGTCGATCGCTACTATATTGCAGTGCTATCAGTCTTCATTTCTCGACAAGCAGGAGGCGTCGGAAACAAGATCTTGGTGCAGGGAAGTCCCGCTTGCTGTGCAAGTAGAGGCGGCTAGGTCATTCTACCAAGCATTCACGAATGAAAAGACATTGCCAATCTCTCATTGCATGTTCTGCTACAGGAAGCAGCCAACGGGGAATCTCGCAACTATTCAGTGGAAAAGACTATTAACGCCGTCCTTAATACGGGCGACGAAGGTTCTTCAGCTTTGTGAGGAATGCCTGCCACAGCACGAAGATGCTGTAGCGGACGTGTGCCGTGACTGTCGCACTGTTTTGCAGAACGGAAGACTCCCCAAGTCCTGCTCAGTCAACAACATGCACATTGGGTGCGAGCACAGATATCCAAAAGAGCTCGATGACCTCTCTCCCGTCGAGGAAAGACTTATCGCCCTCCAGGCTCCGTTCGGCTACATAACTAAGTTCACCGTCAACAGCAAGACGCTTTCCGGCCTACACTACAGGAAACATGTGAAAGGACATATCGTCGTGTTTCCGAACAACGTCGACGATCTCGTCGCAACAGTGCTTCCCCATCCCCTACTGGAGGCGATCGAGAATATCCACATCTCCTGGAACGGGTCGAGCAAGCCTAACCCTGCAGACGTCGGTCATCTTCTTCAAGTTCGCAAGACGGTTGTAAGGAATGCTCTGGTTTGGCTTCAGAGAAACAACCCTCTCTACGAGCAAATTGCTATTAACAGCGACGAGATAGACAGTTGGCATTACGAGAGTGGCTCTAACGTCCCAGCTGTTATACTTGGGATGATGAGACATGAGGAGCCGTCGATTGCTGAGAAAACGCAAACAGACCACATTGTCCCACCCACGGACAGAGGACTACCGGACAATCAGCCCACGACCATTGAGGAGATCCTCAACTCCGCGCAACTTTGTGCCGATGGAGAGCACCACGACTCAGACATGTTCCCCAGAGAGCCCGTTACCAGCTGTTCCGATCGCCTCGGCAATGTCATCTATGAGGCATCATCCTCAGGCATGTTCCCCCTCGACGAGCCTGCCACATTCTCGGAGTCGGATAAGCTGTCCTTTATTGCAAATGCTATGCAGATAAACAGTCGGGAATCCGACGGGGGTGGCCATTCGGGTGGGATGAATATAGGCACCGCGGGAGAACAGCCATTCATACGTGTGGACCGGGGCTCTGATTTCGCCGACAACCTGCACGAGGACTTCTTTCCCAGGACCTTCCCTAGGCTTTTCCCATGGGGAAGAGGAGGACCTAAAGCAACACGCAGCACGGGACATCGTCAGCAAAATACATCAGAGAACATCGGAAATCCTACCCCAAACCACTCGCTCACATACTGGGCTAAGTATGTACTCCAGCGACACGGTGGTCGGTTTGCTACGCATCCGGTGTTCAGTTTTCTTGTCTTTAACATTCTTCTCCGATCATCCAACCGCCGCATAAGCATGGTCCGCATGGCGAAGGGCTCTTTCAATCGAGCCGAGCAGGTCTGTCAAACACTGACAGCAGAACAGCTGAGACTGGCCGAGGTCGAGATGCGCCGGGACAAGGTGACGACAGATAAAGATGTATCGTTTCTACTGCGCGAGCTATCCATCTTTGGTTATGCCCAGCCTCTATCGAATGAGACTCGCCTGCTGATGCGGAGAAAAATACAGTCACTTATTATCTGGACCGGCACCCCTGCGATTTGGTTCACAATCAACCCAAACGACATTAATAACCCCGTCAAGATGAGACTCTCAGTACACAGGCTGCATGATCATGATGTGGCGAAAGAGCTCCTAGCAGAAGCTCGAGGGCGGTTCGACAAGATCGCTCTCAGCACCCTGGATCCGGTCAGCTCCGTCATCTTCTTCCATCGCGAGATTTTCCTATTCTTCGAACACTACGCCAAAGCCGGCAAGGAGTCGGTTTTTGGGAAGGTCAGTCACTATTATGCTACAGTGGAAACCAACGATCGAGGTAGTCTACACTTGCATGGGCTGTTCTGGCTCCACGGAAATCTAGAGCTACCATCGCTTTGTGGCAATATGGCCGATCCCCAAGAGGACGGGTACCGATCTCATGTGATTCGTTACATCGACTCCGTCTTCCACGAGTGCCTAGACGAAAAGGCTGGGAGGACGATGCGGAAGGAAAGAAAGCCAATCGACCCTGTCGAGGACATAATGATAAGCACCGAGGCTCTTACTGCGGCCTTTGAGGACGAAGCCAATTACATTGCGTACTGCAGCCAGATACACTCCCACACATTTACTTGCATCAAGTATTCTCTGAAGGGCCTATCTAGCCAGGACACAGATGCTCACAAGCGTACAGCATGCCGATTCAAAGCCCCCTGGAAGATCGTCGAGGAGACGGGCTTCGTGGACGACGGCCTGCTCAGGATCCGACGCAACCACGCCTTGGTTAACCGACATAACAAGGCAATGGCGGTCGGACTCCGCCACAACCATGACATCTCGTTAATCTTGACAAGAACCAAGGGGCTCGCCATGATCTTTTACATCACAAATTATGCCACTAAGCTAGATACACCGATGTGGAAACGCATTGCCATTACAGGCGAAGTTCTGGGACAGCTACACCAGTCGGCGGAAGGCCCGTATCAAACGCCAAGTTCTGGCCCTGGTATCCAACGCCCGACCGTTCTCAACCAGACCCGCCAGTTCCTTATGAGGGCGGCAAACCGAATATTCTCGGAGAGGCAGCTCTCGTCAGTGGAGGTCTGTTATCACCTGCTCGGCTACCACACGGACTTTACCAACGTGCCCCAGTGGTCTTTCATAAACCTGTCCGCCCTGTACTGGTCCATATTTAGACGATGGCGGCATCTACGTAGCCTGTCTAGAGAGCACGCCGACGTAGACGACCCACCTGAGACCATCGGCCTCAGAGACAGCGGCAGGACATTACTGTACTTGGATGCCTACGCCCGCCGGGGTCCGATACTGAGAGGTCTATGCCTATATGATTATATGTCTATGGTTAGCCTCGAGCGTTGCCGCGGCCGAGAAGAGGATGAAGCTCACATCTCTCTCGACGGCCTCTTTCCGGAATCAGATGGTTGGTTACAGAAGCTCCGGAGACCTCCTGAATATACGGTACCCATCTTCCAAGGATACATCAGCGATCATCACAACGACGAGCACCCGGTCTACTTCAAGCGGTAATCATCCCCCGGCATCCAAAAATGATGATTCGCAGCCGGTACTAATCTGCCTAGTAACTCTATTCTCCACCTGGCTCTATTCGTGCCGTGGGAAGACTTCCTTGCCAAGGCTGATGGAGACATTACGGACATTTGGACAAACCACGCTGCCGCACTCCCACCGCGTTTGCGATCTCACGTCTCCAATATCTCTCTTCTGAGGAAATCGGCGGAAGATGCGCGCAAGGACGCAAAGCTCTGGGCAAGCCGGTCCGAAGGTGATGACACAGTCGACATGGAGTTCCCACTTGACGAGGGCAACCGTCCTGAAGAGTCTGCAACAACAGCTGAGCATAGACAGAGTTACATCGCGCTCCTCCACATCCTACAAAATGCCATAGCAGACTCAGCAGCGACGAGACACTCGCCAGTGCTACACGCCTTGCTCCGGGACCTGCGTTATGAAAACCCAGCAGAAGAGCAGTGGCCGTTTGTGCAGCGTCCCCGGGATTTCTATGACCAGATTTACCGTTCACAGAAGAGCTCACTATGCCAGTATCCGGCTCTCTCTCACGAAGACGTGCAGGCCGCGGTAAAGGCCCAAGGTATGCTGCATCTCCGCATGCTAGATGAGATCGAGAGTGGTCCTCAAGCGGCGGCAGGCACGATGGGAAGCGAGGACTTGGATGACATACTTATTCGCCCCTGTGACGCAGGCATCCCCATTCCACCCCGGCGTCTAGAGTTGGCCAGCCATGACCATCAGATGGCGGTCGAAATCGATCATACAACGGGGTTTGTGGAAGTGGGACGCGCTGCCGCATTGTCCCTTACCCTCAACTCCCTCCAGACAATGGCTCTTCAACTTGTGTGCAAATTCTTAGATCGATACGTTGCTGACCCCGACTCTGCCGGCCAGCATCTTCAGTACACCGGAGGTCCGGGAGGGAGGGGCAAGTCCAGAGTTATCGACGCCCTAAAATGGGTGTTCGAGGCAAGGGGCCAATCACATCTTCTTCAGATCACCGGCACGTCGGGAAGCGCGGCGGCCCAGATCGGCGGCACAACACTGCATTCCGCTTGTGGGCTGGACACTCATCGCTCCTCCCAAGCACAACTCCCGATTTTCTCCGAAGCGAAGAAATGGACGTGGAAGCAGAAGTTAGTTCTCGTGACCGATGAAGTGAGCATGCTTGGAGGCGCCACTTTGTACGAGGTCAGCCGCAATCTCCAGTCACTCCGAGACTGTGCCGATAAGCCGTTTGGAGGGATTCCAGTAATTCTCCTGATGGGGGACTTCTACCAGTTCGCTCCAGTTCGTGAGACGAGTCTCCTAGTCAATAAAACGATAGACCCTTCTACTGCGCCATTAGGACAAGGAACCATCTCGCACCATCGTGGCTTCGGCTTGTGGCAGATGTTCAAACAGTGGTCCTTCTCGAAGAACAGGTTCGTTCACGAGATGATCCTCACCTAGGTGCCTTGCTCGATAGAGTCCGGGCCGGGGCTCAGACACATCAAGACCTTCTCATGCTCAACTCAAAACTTGTCGGTCGAGACCAAGTCAGCTTCAGTACGGGCTTACGTGCCATAACACCGCTGAACCGAAACCGCTGGTCGCTTAGCATGGAGGCCGTCGTTGACTGGGCTCGGTCTCACAAGAGACATATTTCCATCTTCATCTCCGCGCATACCTGGCGAGGTGGCACTCTCTCAGAAGACCAGATGGCAAGGACTATCGAACTAGGAGACGACTCCAGCTGCAAAGTTCCCGGTGTATTCTTCTACGCCCAAGATATGCCCGTGGTTGTAAATCAAAATATTTACACCGGACTCAAGATCGTCAACGGGGCTGAGTTTACCGCCTATGATTTCGCACCTGATCCGAAATACCCAGGTTTCCACCTGGCTGACGATGTGACGATCCACTTCGGACCACCACTCGGCATACTTTTACGTTCGAAAGACACCAAGAGCCTATCCATACCAACCCTTCCGCCGGGAACGGTGCTTGTCCGCTCGGTGTCGCAGACCCTCGATCCGACTCATCGCAATTCTAGGTTTCTGCCTGCAAAGTGCACCCGCCGCGGCCTGCCCGTCGTACCCGCATTTGTACTCACGGATTATAAGGCTCAAGGAAAGACGTTCGCGGAAGTTCTTCTTGAGCTGCGAGGGAATCGTGTCACCAATGGTGAGCCCTCTAAGTGCGACTTCACTAGCCTCTATGTGCAGTTATCGAGGTGCAAGACACTGGATGGCATCAAGCTCCTTAGTCCCGTGCGTAATCAGGATTTTATCGGGAACAAAATGGACCACTCCATCGTCGAAGCGATGCAAAGACTCGCAAGCCTCGCTGCAGAAACGAAATGCGCGTACGAAGGCCGGGATACCGGACAATAGCAACCAATAAGATCAAAGATAGACGCTTTCCTACAATTTATCGTGTGACCTTATTTCCCGCTAGTCATCGGGGTCTCTCTCGCCGTCTTCATCGACCCGCACCTATAATCTAACCACCGGTTTTCGAAGGTTGGTCGGTTACAGAGTCATCTTCTGCATCTTGTCTTTCACCAAAGAGGTCAAAGATACAGCCACATCACGTCCACACCCCAAGAACCTACAGGCGCTATAAATTTTTCCAATTGGATACTTACTAATGCTATCCCTAGTCAAAATATAATACGCGATAGCGTCTCTTGAATTATTCTTTCTCTTGAATTTTTCTCTTGAATTTCATATCTCTTCATACAATAGCCATCTTAGTTTCAACAATTATCTTTCCGTAGACCGGAAAGCCTCGTTCCGAAAGGTCTGCTGGCGGGCCCCGTAGGGGGCTGGTCTCCTGTCTGAGCTTTTCTAAGCCCCTTTTCATGAGCCACATCCGAAGAGCCACGTCTGAGGGAGCCACATTTGATGCGCCACCGAAGGTGGCGCATGTGTGCTTCGTTCCGAAAGGCATTGGCGGGCTCCGGAGGGGACCGGTCTCCTGTCTTCCGCGCCCTCCTTTCCTAAGCTCGGACCATTCTGTGGACCGTGCACGCATTCACCACAGTTGCTGCACCACAATCTCTGCGCCACTATTTTTGTGCCACAGAGCATTGCTGGCTATATACCCTAAACTCAGCCAGCAGGCTTTTGCAGCGTGACATTCTTGTACATTCAATTCATCGGCAAGAGCGAAACGACCATTCGGTGTAATGAAACCTTGAGAATGTTGAACGCCTCTAATCTGAAGGCAGACATCTTAACGGTGGTGAAATCGCACTATACGTGGAAGACTTGGCCAGCACGCTGCTACTATTCCACAGACCTCTCTCTACGCATGGAACTGTCCAGTGAGTCGACCAGTGCCTAAGATCGTGAATTTGGATCAAATCCCAGGTGTTCCCCCATCAGGCACATAAGCCACTATTCCCTGCCCTCGTTATATCCGATCGTCTATCTATATATTCTATCAAAAATCCCCAGTCATACAGGTATTTTTTTAATACCTGATGTTTCTAAGAGGGTGGTCTTATAGTACGGCGTTACAGTACGGATAACTTAGGAGTCACTTCTGGGGATAATGAGCAGATATATCAAAAGCTTCGCCTGTAAGCGAGTGTAATATTTAATGTCTGGATCTTAGCTGGAAATTTTGCTAGAGATTCCAAACCAATCATGAAAGGAAGCCATAGATAGTTGTATAAAAACTTCAACGATGAGAATGAAGCTAAAATGGGAAACTGTGAGCCCCTTCACAGAATCCCCTCCGCAACTCAATGTATCGAGGAGTCGCGGTTGTTTTAAAAGAATACGTCCTATAGGATAGGACATGTGTAGAACGGTACAGTTGGTGCCAAGACTGCCTAAAAGGAACCTTCTCTGATACTAAAGCAAGCCATGGAACGATCGATAGTGACAGGACTGCAGTATTCTGCGATGCGATTCAAAATTCGACCGCGATGGGAGCTGTTGCATTCCGTCTTTGTGACAACGATTCCAGTTGGACATCAATGAGAGTTTGTGGAACTTCAGCCGTCGTCACTCGCGCAATGATGGCGCTCTGAGTCTAGACCTTCGCCCAGCGCAGAAGCACCGCGGCAGCAATGACTGGCAGCACGCTCACTAACTCTCCTAGTCCCGCAAACTCTGGAGGAATCCTCGCGTTGATAAAGGCACTGGCAGCAAGAAGAACTGCGAAGGTGTTGTACATGAAACTCCACCTAAAGTTGAACTTGATGCGGTTGATGGATTTCCGACTTGCGTTTATTATGGTCAGAATGCTAGCTAGGGAAGGGCGCATGAGAATAATATCTGTAGCAGATTGCGCGACATCTGTGCCTTCGTTTATATGGACGCTGATAGTAGCCTGCGCGAGAGTAATAGTATTATTCGTGCCATCGCCGTAGAAAACGATAACCGGCTTCTTGCGATCTGTAGTAGCACCGAGGAGAGTCTCGATGTAATTCTTCTTATCGGCAGGTGAGCTTTGAGAGTGCATATTTTCACCAGGAATGCTAAGCTTGGATGCTAAGGTCCGAATGGCTCCATCATCGTCGCTAGAAACCACATGTACTGAGATACTACGCTTCTGCAAGGTTTTAATGGTTTCCGTAGCATCAGGTCGAAGTTCGTCCTTAAGACTATAGACCGCCTTTAGCTTATCGTCGATTGAAAAGTAGAACATAGTGCAGCCTTAAGTAAGCATTAGCTGGATTAGTTTATAGTCCGATAGATTTAGCTAGCGAGAGTTGCTAGCTTGAAGTTTCTGGCCGCCTAGGGTGGTTTCGACACCTTTACTAGTTAAACTCTTTGGCTTAGGAATAGTTAAAGATATAATTCTGATGTCCTTAAGGTAGGTAGCTATAGCAACTGAAACCGGGTGTTGACTGTTTTTAACCAGACCTAGAAGAAGTGGAAGTTTATCCTTATCGACGCACTTATTTCTAACAATAGAGAGCTTTCCTTAAGTTAAAGTTCCCGTCTTGTTAAACATAATGTGTGAAGTCTTATAAGCGACTTTAATAGTATCCGCGGACTTAAAGATAATACCCTGTTCCGCTGCGACTCCGCTGGTAATTATAATAACTATTGGAATAGCTAATCTAATTGCATATGGGCAAGAGATGATGAGAATAGTGATGGCGTAGGTGATGGCCTGAATGGTAGCTTTAGATCCTCTATAACTACGGATAGTTATACCCACTGTGACCTAGATAATAAACGTAACAGTCGTTAATGCTACTACCATGGGGATAAAGTAGGATGCTACCTGATCTGCTAGGTCCTGTAACTTGGGCTTTGATAGTTTAGCCTTATTAACTATTGTAGTAATGGCGTGGATGGTATTGTTACTAGGTAGATAGTTTAGCTGAATAGTTATAACCCTAGGTCTATTAATAGATCTAGTAATTACTACTGATTTAGGATACTTCTCTATTGGTCTGGATTCACCTGTGAGTATAGACTCGTTGACCTTAGAAGACCCTGTGATAATAGTGCTATTAGTTGGAATCCTGGTGTCTAGAAGAACCTTAAATGTGTCGCTATATTGAAGAAGTCGGGTGTCTATCTCACGCTCTGTTCTACTTTCTTTGTTGATAAGGATGGCTATTGATGCCTGGAGTGACTGGATAGAAATGGACTTAATAGCTCTCTGATGAGCGAGAGCTATAACCTATCTGCCAACCATGATTAGAGTGACTAAGAGAGTGCTCGTTTCAAAGAATTAGCTAGTCGTAAGGGGTTCCCCTGTGATGAAGTACCTAAAAGAGACTATAGAGAAGATGTAGGCAGCGCTGGTGCTTAAGACGATTAAGAGGTCTATCTCGATAACTCTGGAAAAAATAAGCGCCTTTAGAGCCTTAGGGTAAAAAGGTCCTGCGATAATAAATTGAACGATGGTTGCCAATGCGAGTGAAGCCGAGGAATAGGCTAACTCCCGCTCCGGAAGAGGAGCTTATGCTATAATAAGAACAGGAATTATTAAGATAGCTGAGAGAAGCGTTATATATCCAATATGACGGATATGCTTGCTCCTAGCCTCTAGTGAAGGATCACCACGAGGCAGAGCAAGTTTAATTAGCGGACCCTAGATCTTCTCGGCGAGGTCTCGGGCTCCTATAGTCTTTGAATTAAATATAACTCGTACGACCTGCTTATCTACGAGCGCTATATTAATGACACCTTCCGGCTATTTCTGACTTATGAATTTTGAGGGCTTATCGGGGATGATAAGATCTAGGCTAGATCCCTGGTTCTGAACTCTTTCGCACTTGAATTCAGTTGTTCGCTCTAGATGTTTTATGACTTCTTCTACTGAGCTGAGGCGAAGGACGATGTTGAACTCAGCTTGTGAGAGAACCAGGCTCGTCTTTAGGTCTTGGATAGTGGGAACTGTAGCGAGAGTTCGATTGAGCTTTATCTTACAGCTAGTATAGGTCATACCGGAAATGCTGAGAACAATATGCTCCCTGCTGGTACCCTGGTTCTCTATGTCGGTGATAGTCTGAATGGGGTCCTTCTCAACCTCCAACCCTTGATCAGGCGCAGTAGAGGAGTAGCAGGCATCGGCGCAAAAGCCCTGAGAGCTGGCAGGTCGCGTTTCCGAGCAGCAAGAGTCCGCACAACTAGTCTTTGGAGGCTTGACGATATCCTGCTTGGGTGGCTTGCAGCAAGAACCAGCGGAAGCGGCATCGAGGGTCTCTTTGACAACCGCAATCTTGTCTGTTCCGCAACAAGATCCCGCACACCCACTAGGTAGAGATTCAACAACGGGCTTGACCTTCGAATAGCATGAGTCCGCAGAGATGCTCTTGGCATCATTGCCGTTGACACGCCTGTCCCCGGAGCAGCAAGATCCGGGGCAGCCGACTTTGGGAGGGGATTCTTCGAAACGCTCAGTCTCGGAGCAGCAAGAGTCAAGGCGTCCAGTGTCGGCGACAGGCGGCTTGGTAGGCTTGTCGGTGGAGCAGTACGATTGGCCACAATTGTCCTTGACGGACGGAGCCTTCACAGGCTTGTTGTCAGAGCAGCAAGAACCGGGGCAGTTGCTTTTTGTTGGAGCTTCTTTGACTGGGACCTTGTCCTTCGCACAGCAAGATCCAGAAGGTTTGATGTCAGCTACAGCTTCCACGATAGGCTTGGCCTTTGAGCAGCATGAATCCGCGCAGCTGGTCTTGGGGAGAGACTCCTTGGCAGGTTTCATCCAGCAGGACTTGGAGCATTTGCCCTTGATGGAAGGCTCTTTAGCGGGGTTGTCCTTGGAGCAACGAGGGCCTGAGCAGGCAACCGTAGATGACTTCCTGGCAAATTTGACGCTTTCGCCAGAGCCCTTGCGCAGGCGAAGGCAGCTCTGCGCAGCCTGGTCCTGCGTAACGGATTCGCTGCCGCTGCAAGAATTTAGAGAATTGCGAAGAGGGGAGCGAGTAGACGCCTTCTTGGAACACTGCTTCCCGTCCAGCGAATGACGCTCGCGAATTTCACAGCAGGTTTCCTGGCCGAGAGCAATAAGCGCACGGCAGATGCATCCCAGGGCCTGGAGAGTGGCGCTATACCGGTCGAGGGTAGAGGTGCTATGCTGGCTGCATGCCTTGCCGTCAGCAGCTCCACTGCAAACTGAGACGAGTTAGCAATCTCAAATGGCTTTCTGTAAGCGCGGCTACTCACTCTTTGTCTGGGCGTTTGCTTCGGGGGCAGCACTCATCTCGCATTCCCGCATAGCCAAGCGGTCAAGGCAGGAGGTGTCGCAACATGGGCCTACCTTGCCACGGCAGCAATCAGGCGCGTCGGTATCATCCTTGGCTTTGTTGTCCGCGCATTTGCCAGAGGAGCAGCAATCGTCCGGCTTCTCCTGGTTGGGCTCTTCCTGACCCGGGTCCTTGGTCTCGAGAGGCTCCGCATCGCTATCGCCGCCATCGCAGCAAGAATCCTGGCAACTGCGAGTCTCCTCAATTGGAGCCGCGATTGGTGCAGCAACCGGCTCAAGGGCTGGATCCGGTGGAACGCAATAGTCGCATCCCATTGTTGAAGTACTTTTGTGCTTTTCAGTCCGAATTTCGTGAGTTGTGGCTGAGATGGTCTTGGAAATTGATAAGGTTCAAGAATTCTGATAGCCTGTTAATTCAATTCAATTCCTACTCGGTTGCAGCCGCTAGTTACATAAGCAGCCATACCCGGTTAGCGGGGTTGGCTGACGGCCAAAGCTCGCTCCAAACGATAATCCTACTAAGACCAGACTGCCATCTCTTCTTTACTTGGGACTTGGTATATTTACTACTATATAAATAATAACTACCCTTAGTCTTCTTATAAGTATTATAGGCAAAGGCTTAATTTTTTTTTAGTGGTAGTACTTTATATATTCTACATCAGCCTTTGCCTTTAGCGTATATACTGGCCGGCTATTCGTATAATAGCACTTAACTACATCCAGCTCACTATAGAAAAGTCTATAATAGTAGGGGTCTAGTACTTCAGTATATAGGCAAAACTTCTCCTTTATTCACTAGCGTTATAGATAGTAAGAGCTTTTTTTACAGGCCTATTTAATAAAACTAGGTCAATTAGCTAAAGCTAGATATATATATCCTCTTCACCTCTTTTATAAGAGAGAACACTTATATCTTTACCTCTTCTATACCTACAGGGTGCTTTAAGTAGTATATTTATTATCTATAGAATGATGAGAGTAGGGCAATTAATTTAAGGATATTCATCGCTGTGGGCTTAGGGTAATAACCTAGCGACTATACTGGAGGCTGCTCGATATCACGCGATAATAACCATTAAGACACTATAGTTATAATTCTAACCTAGCGGTCTCGCAAAAGGCCTCTAGAATATAATTCAGGAGAATTAGTATCTGGGATTTATATCCTTTAGAGGCCCGCTAGCCTACTTTAAGATTATGAGTTTATGGCCCCCTTAGCTACTAAGAATCTCTAACACCTTAATCCCCTTAGCTAATCTATCTCTACCTCTTCCGTGGATGCTAGGTTAGAAGGATTAATTAGGTTTTATATAGGTGGCTAATAAGATATTATCTAGACGATAATAGTAGTAGCTAATATACTAGCTAGTAGTTTTATAATAAGTTTATTACTAAGCTCTTATAGATTAATAAGTAGGTAGTATATACTTATAAAAACTACTATAAAACTCTCTATTAATAATAATAGTACTATAGTATTAAGAGCTCTTTAGTATCTACTAGGCCTTTTCTAGCCCTAGTAGTACTAAGATATATTACTATATTAATCTCCTCTATAGTAGCTTTATCCCTACTATTATTAGATTTATTATCTAGAGGTAATATCTCTTATCCTCTATATCTTAGTGTAGGACTAACTTATTAAATAGCCTCCCTAGCGCCCTAGGTATATATAGCCTCTCTATTAATATCTTTAATATTAGTAACTCTCTCCCTTACCCTATTTATACTTTACTCTCTAGCCTTAATACTATTACTATTAGTATTATTATTCTAGTAGCTATCTAATTATCTAAAAAAGCTATTACTAATAAAATAATATATATCCTTATCTTCCTAGGCACTATTACTAATATAATATATAATATATTATAGTATTTCCTACTACTTATATTTCTTATAGGTATTATAGCTCTTATATATAACTTTTAATAGTTATATAGCCTAGTTAAGGCTATAGCTAGGATATTAAAGAGAAAATATATATAATCTAGAGTAGAGGTAGATAAGAGTATATAGATATAGATTTAGTAGGAGATAGCTATAAGTTAGCCTTACGCGAGTATCACTATAGAAGATACTTTATTAAATCACTATAGGACTACTAACTAGTTAAGTACTATTAACTATAAAGATATTATACTCCCTATTACTATATATAAAGTATTAATCCCTAAGTCTAAGCTATATATTATCCCTAAGGAATAATACCTTAATATTAACTAGAAATTTAGACTTTTCCTTATTAGCCTCTTCCTTATTATTTTTATTATTATTATAATTCTATATAGTATCCTACTTAACTACTTACTCCTCTATAGTCTCTTTAGTAATATATACCTTATAGGTACTATTATCTTTAGTAGTAGACCTATTATAATTTTACTACTCTATAAGTATATTATTAATAAAGGCTAGGTTAGTATATATAATTTCCTAATTAGCCTTACTATTATCTAGGTATTTCTAGGACCTAACTTTAACTTTACTATATACCTTAGTAGTCTAATAGTAATTAATAGAGGCTATAACTCTACTACTAGCGCTATTCTTAGGTTCCTAGGCCTTTTCTTTCCTGGTTTAATTATAGTATATAGAACTATAGGTATCTAGAATATAATTTAGGGGTAGAGATAGGTAAAATTAGCCCTTAGAGGAGTTAATACTACTACTATTAGGCTTATCTATACTATAGTCTATTATCTCTAGTAGATTAGCTATATTAATAAGGGATTCTAGTAGGGAACTAGCCTAGTAGTTAAACTATAGTAGGTGGTTATAATAGCTATAAGCTATATAGGTGGCTACTAGTTTAGAGTGAGCCCGCCTATAGCTATCATCCTAGGCGCTATTATAGGCTTAATTTAGTATAGGGTTATCTTAACTTAAAGTACTGTTTTCTATATTTTATGGATAAATATATAAAAGGATATTAAGTGGAATAATATAATTGTAGCCTATATTGAATCAGGTATGCGAATTAATTGGAAGTTGGTGCTTAATGTGATTAAGAAAGGAGGCAATTAACCAACATTTAATTATAATATCATCAAAATGTGGGTATTATCTCAGCCACACCAGTGCCTGTGCGAAGTGTTAAACATTACGACTTTTTCAGTGATACGTTACAAGAGTTGGGGATGTGTATAAGTACGAGTGCTCCTGCCTGTTTTAAATAATGAATAGAACAAGGAATATAATCACTCATTGCAATACAAAGGACAAGGACAGTCACAGTCCCAGGACTTGGTTTGTCCCCGTACAGGAGACCGGTCCCTCTTTAGGGACCGCCAATGCCTTTTCGGAACAACTTAAGATCTTAAGAAGTAAGGCAATTAATCAGTGTCTATGAGGAGCTAATGAAGTCCAACAAGATAAATAATAAATCTATATCTATGCGACACCCATCTCCTTCAGAAACTGCTCCCCGAACCCAGGTTCTAACCATCCACGGATAACAGAGCTATCTAAGGCCTTGTAGTTTTGCTGAGTGATGATAGTATGGGCATCTCGGCAACGGGTGTCTGTGAATGCTTGGCGGGTGTAAGCGCCTGGCCCGTGATGTCGATGGTCCATGGAGCTGATAAGATGGGAGACGGGCTGACATCTTTTGACTTCAGCTGCTGTGAAACCCTGCGATCTTTGCCGCTGATGGGCTTAGGCAGCCAATAAGAAACAGGGTTGATGTCACGTTCTGAATGACTCGTAGTGGGCGGGTCAGAACAGACAGAGCTTATAAGTCTCAAGCTTGTTTATCAAATTAGTCTGACTTGTAAGACCAATCGATGAAGGGGTGTTTATGAGTAACAACAACATTATGTGGACGTTTATTCAGGGGATACTGTCGCGCGGGCGCGGACCGGCTGCGGATTCTGATTCTCACGGTATCCCGTGGTTGACACTACCTTCGGACCTGAGAGTGACCAGCCACTCTCCTCAATTATATGGGTGTAGCAGGAACTTTTGCCTTTAGGCCAGCGCCTCTCTAGAATGAAAATAGTCTTTGAACATGGAGAGCTGGCTAACGGAGATGGCTACAAAGAATTGAAAGGTCGGGGCAAAAGTCTCTCGTTGGTCGTTGTCGAAGATCGCTTAGCAGATTGCACCCATTTTTACTTACAATCAAAATCATTACTTCTCTCAGCTTATAGTAGCTCGAAATACCGGAAATTAGCTTCAAGAGCATTGAACGAAGAGTGATCCCTATGTACGAAATTGCAGTCTTTCCGCCGAAGCACGCCCCAGTGCTTCTGGACTTGTCATGCCCTGATGATCATTAGCTGATTTCCCGCGCCCAGAGAATACCATTTTTAACAGTGATAGCCAATCCGTATATATAATCAAGATAGCTAAACTATTTCTATAGCTCTGACCTACCCCATCTTCCGCCGAGAAGAGCGGTCGCTACGGCCATCTAGAGCAAAGTCGTCTCTAAATTCAGTAGCTGGCCGAAGGGGCATGACAGTGGCACACCGACGGTTAATAATGAAGCTGTGCCTTTCCTCATCTCCACAGCATCGAACGAAAAAGGGCAGCCTTTGCGTGCGCGTTTACATTCCCAAACAGCCCTCTTGTTCCCAGTTGGCTTCCAGTAACTTTTGAGACATTTTGGACGGACCGACCAATATGGATATGGTAGCCTTGCGACTTGGCAAATTCAAGGAGCTCTTGCCTCATTTCTTTCAAAGAAGAGTAAGTGGTGCCCTCTGGAGGCAGTTTCAGTAGTCGCTCTACACACTCGGCTGATAGAGCAAATGTATATCGTTTATCCGAGGGAGCCTCTATAAAGTCCGGACATCATTCCCGATCCGAAATTCCCTGGCTACCATCTTGCGGACGATGTTACCATCCACTTTGGTCCGCCAGAGTCGCAAGGCACAAAGGGCCTGGCCATCCCGGCCCTCCCAACAGGCACCGTGCTCATCCGGCCCATTACGCATACCCTCGACCCAGCCAACTCCTACTACAGATTCCAGTCGGGAAAATGCGTCCGGCGAGGATTGCCTGTGGTCCCGGCCTTTGTTCTGACTGACTATAATGCTCAAGGCAAGACATTCGAGCATGTGCTCTTGGAGCTGCGGGGAAACCGTATGACGAATGGTCAGCCTTCAAAATGCGATTTTACTAGCCTCTATGTGCAACTATCTAGGTGCAGAACACGACAAGGCATCAAGCTCCTCAGTCCCGTACAACATCAGGATTTCATCGGCAATCAGCCAGACCAACGCATACTTAATGCCATGCAGAGGTTGACGGATCTAGCCGCGGAAACACGGCGATTATTTGAAAGTCTGTGAAGCCTCAAACACATT